TGAAAAGATCTTCATTAACCATTAAGCTCTTCCTCAAAACTCTTCATTAAATTGTCCCATTTTATTCCTATTTGGGTAAAAGCACGATTTACCTGATTTTGACATGAAAGAATGACATTTGCTCTTCTTTACCAAGCACACTGCTTTACATTTGTATGCCATTTGTGCATTGTGTCATTAGACTCTATCATTAGGTAGAAATACCAATAAAGTAAAAGGAAAGCAAAACAAAATGAAATTTTCAGTTTGAATGTAGTTATGTTAAGGTTAGTCAAGACAGTGTTTCCCAAACATAATCATGCTCCCAAGCCTGGAAGACCCTGCTTTTTGAGGGTAGGTGGAGAATAAAGAGATGGTTAGAAGTTTCAGTAAGTTTCGGCCTGTCTTGCATCTAACAGAAGCATACAAAAATATATATGTCCAAGAACATATGACCTTATAAATGAGCATACTGAAATTCACACCTCAATTTTTACATCAGTTTGGATCAAGGTTGAATTTAAAGCAGCAACGTAATGTAGTTTTGCATTTGGCCTGAAGTGACTATTCTCTGCTGTGCAATATATAGATACCTCTATAGATTGACTTTCCTTTAGAGACCTTGAATTCAGAATCTCTGTCAAGATTTACAAAGAGGGTTGACAAAACAAACGGAAAGAAAAATTATAATCCAGTTTGTTCATCTCTGAGGGGAAGAATTACGCTTCTGGAAAGAACCTTAATGCCTTTTATCTAGCCATATGCAGCAAACAAACAGTCTAAGTGCACAGGTGCTAATATATTAGATGCCAAAGGAGCTATTTGTTCTCATTTCTGGTGTGAAAGATTCACTGATGATCACAGAAAACTAATAATACTATATACTTTGATGCCATGAATTGGCACTGGGATATCAGCCTCCGCAAACAGAATCTTTTGAGGAATAAAGCAGTTCCCTTTATTCTACAAGTGTCTGGAGAAAAAAAAAAAGGACAGGCAAGAAATGGACATTTCACCACATGAAAACTGAATAGCTTACTGAGACCAGGTGTTACAAGCAGCTGCTGAGAAAAGGCAAGGGGACCAGTATTCCTGTGTGGTGCATTCTTCATCTTTCTCTTTGTTGTGGAATTATGCCACATTGCATCCCATTTGGCTGAGAGAAGTCATACAGAGAGGGAGCAGCATAGGTGAGTCTGTTGGACTTGTAGCACAGCTTCAAGGGAAGGACATTCAAATTAGGATTATTCTCATTAGCCACATGTAGACAAGAAGAAAATTCCCATGCCTCTCGGTGGTTTTTTTCTTAGAATATATGATGCGATTGAGAATTTCTCAGCGTTACTTCTTTCCCCATATCATCGATTTTCTAAGGGTGACAGTCATATTGCACTCAAGACAATATTTTAAACCTTACTGGTTTTGCTAAAGCCATAAGGGTAACTAAGAGCGTGTTAACACAGATGGTTGCAGACAGACCTAACATCTGCTCTGTGCTTTTAAGTATCGGAACTACGAAAGAGGTCACATTTTAGCAGTTACTGTGACAGGATAGATAAGTGCACTAACATAACTTCTAGACTGGAGGTGACTCCTGTCCATCCAGATTAGATCAGAAATAAAAAATAAAAAAAAGGATCTTTCTGTGCCTGCACAGAGAAGATATATGCCAAGACAGAAAAATACCTCTATTTAAAACTATCTCTATTTACCCCTTTTCCAATTTCCAAATTCTAACTAAAGCAACAAAATGCTCTATTTACTCACAAAAAATGACTTTGCAACCAAATATGTTTATTGATAACTGCAAGTGAACTAGTCTTTTCTTTCCATCATAGTAAAAGAAACTAAGGATCAAATATTCCTACCTACTAGCCTTGATAGGCTATTGAGCTGAAAGATGTATAGAGACCAGTGTGTCCTACTAGCCAAAAGACACGGAGTTCATGGGACATTCATATGCCTGAAACGATGTTTTCATCTGAATAAGATAAAAAGATAATATTTGGAAGATAACTACAAGCTCTGGAAACTGTTAGAGATTAGTTTGAGGAAAAGGGGAGGAATAAGAGGGTCTAAAATAGATTGCAACATTGGATGTATTCTATTCACAAGCAAAAGAAAAACATTTCTGCATGAGGTGTTACACTTCAAAATATAATCACTGCATGATGTAGGAAGAGACATAAAGTTTGTCCTTTCAAAGACTTTGATTTATGCAGTCCCCTAATGTTTACAAAGTTGCACACACATGTCTACATAATCTCTCTGCATAGCTACCACTTGGCAGCTATTAGGGACACGTAAATGCAAAGTGAATCCTTCATTTTGCCATTTCTCCCCTCCAAGATTCTGGTGAATGAATTTCCTCTAGGCCTGGTGCCGTTGCTTTACTGCTCTGATCCATTGCTTCAGTGTGATTTCCTTCCTCTCCTCCCCTTCCAGCTGAGGAATAAAGCAAAAGCTTTGGAGCAAAGCTGCCCAGTGGTAAAAGTTTCAGGCAAGGAAGTTGGAGGGAAGATATTGATTAGTATCAAACCACTTTCAAAGTAATGGAAGGAGAGGCAAAGGAGAGTTTCATTCTCTTCTAGTAAAAATTGCATTGATTCAATTCTGTCCTTATAACTGAAACAGCTTGTTGGCTCCCGTGAAGCCAGCTTTCTTTCCATTCTGGTCTCTTGTCCTGCTTATTGGAAAGTGGAGAATGGATGAAGCAGAATAACATAGTCCCTAGTCAGGGACATAGGATAAGATCAGGTTCCTCTCTGTCCTGGCAATTGCTGAACACTGTAATAAAACTAAGCAGATTGACTGTATTCTCCTGTTTTCTCATTTTCTCATGTGGGCAAGCCAAGCTCTTCTTCATCATAACTGCCTTGCTATGTAATGTAAAGGCAGGCAGTCGTCCATCATACCACGGTAATGCATCATGACAACCTCACTAAAATCAGTGGAGTTATAACAAGTTAGCAATTAAGGATTTTTCCTTTAGCTGTTTTCTCTGTGCTTTATTGGCAAACATCAGGCATGCTGCCCTTTCTTTCAGTGATATTCACAATATAAGTCCCTAACTATGGGAATAGATTTGTTTCAGCATATGGCCCATGATGTGCCTCCATGTGGTAGACGGGGAAGACTCATTGCTCATTTTGGTTTCTGGATCAACACTGACAGTTCAAATGTCATCCTCCTTGGATATAAACAGAAAAAGCTTTTCTTGCATTCAGTAGGTGAACAACAAACTATTAATTTGTTGACTTAGAACACCCTATAAAATATTCCTTAATTGTTTGGGCAGAATTCTTGTTTAATGGTCATGGCAGTACCCCAACACAGAAGAGTTGAATAACACAGATCAGCTTCAGGGAAACTGGAAATCCCCTGAGTCACTGGAGTTATTCACACTGCAGTTACAAATATATCAACTGTACCTGATAATGTTTAATCTTTTTACATCTAGGTACTATTGAGTGAAATTATTATATTATCATGTGAGGACCTGCCATGACACTGTTGGGTGTTATACTTCAATTGATACATCATCTTGAACATACTATTCATATTAAAATCAGATTAATTTTTACCGGGGGATTTTTTTTGTAAAAGGGCATTTTAATATAGTTGACATCACATGAAACCATTTCCCACAAACTTAATGACAATACCATTCTATGAGAAATCAAGAAAGGGATCTAACTCTACATATGCTAAAAAAAAATATTGCATTTAATATTTTTTTTCCTATCTGTTATCATATGTAATAAATTTGAAGCAAATCCATAACTATGACAATTTATTTAGATGTCACAAATGCTATACATTCAGAGCATTAAAAAACCCAAAGGTAAGCAATGCTGAGGGGTAAATTAACCATTGTTTAGAATTGAAAAAGTAATTCCATAACCAATGCATTATATAGTAACAAAGCAAATATTATAGATTCTTACCATATACACTTTGAAGGATGATATATTTCAATAGTTCAGTAACTATATAAGTGCTGTCTTAAAGATTTCAAATTCTTTCAGCTCTCTGAACAATTTTATGAGATGATGATGTGAATCTACATCCATCAAAGATCCTATTGCATGATGAAAAGTTAATGTTTCAGAAAACTGGAGTGGTCTCCTTGGCTGTGTGATTATGACTGAAAGCAGTTACACAGCAAAAAGGATTAGTTTGGACTCACATGAGCAAACATACTGACAAAAGCAAGTATTTTTTGAGAAAGGGCTTCAGTGAGTGAATAGTTTCTGTTTACTATAGCAGTCCACACTAGGCATTTTGTGAAAAAGTTGAAAAGTCGACAGCAAAACATCTCAGCAACAATTAATTGAAAGAGCTTATTTCTACAAAATGTGAAAACCCCCTCACTTTGTATAGACAAAAAATCCTAATAAAATAATGTGAAGCTCTCTTTGCAAGTAGATGAAATGATATGACCCGTATGGTAGAGAACAGAAAATTCTGAGCAAACAAATGAGAATTTTTAAAACATATATGCATTATATATATTTTAAATACCCACGTTTAGTGTTGGCATCTATGCCTTTTTTTGAAAGGTGTAGAGCAGGCTTGGTCCTAAAGCTCATTCTATAGGAATAGCGTATTGCATGAAACAGATTTTTAAAACACAGATACTGATTGAGAACAAAACTCTAATTGCATCATAAATCAGAAGAGAAAAGCATTCCGTAAACATGAACTGAACTACCAAGTTCAGTATCAGTGAGCAGCTTTCAAAGGCAACTGACAGGTGTTATGTTCACTGTTTTCAATTTTTCTAATAAACATCCACTCACAGACAATTGTAAATTCATTGTAAAATATAAATCTTATGCGAGTATCTACTTCAGTTTTCAATAACAAAATAAAAGCAGCAGAAACAAACTAGGATTTTTAGTCTGTTATTTTCACTTTTTTCATTTCACAGCTTTCTTTTATAGCTGATGCTCTAAGTCTATTTTAGCATGTCAGACACCACATCTACAAACAGCACAAACTGTGAGTGACCACTTTACCTTCTGAAAAATCAATCAGTCCCAGCAAATGAAGCAGCTTCAGAGATGCAAATATAATCACAACAATACCCACTGTTTGCAGTCCCTCGGACTCCCACTCGAGAGTCAACATTCTTCCAACAGGCAAATCATTCCAGTCTTCACACCAGTTTGCAATCAGAGGGAAATTGGAAGATTTTACCAAGAGTTTGCTTTGAAGAAAGTTGCAGGGGTGTAAAGCAGCACTATACTGAGCTGTGGCGATTCATCAGCCACTGTAGCTGAGACAAAATATTAGATAAAGCCCTGCATCTCATGCTTCTCTAAGCTTTTGATTTCATCAGTAGCGAGTCCTCTTAGAAGGCTGAGGTGGACCACGAACCCCTGGGTATGACATTGTATCCGTCAAGCAGCGTTACTTAGAGCTGCTGGAGGAACATCTGTGTCGGAGCAGGAGACTTGGCTGTGTCAGTGCCAAGAAGAAACGCGCTCGGGAAACTTGCACTAGGGAGCACACTGCTATCAGCACTGCACTCCACTGCTTCCAGACCCAGGCTTTGCGATTCTCCCCAGCTTCTCTTGGCACAGTTTTTGTTAAGTTTGAGAAATGACAGTTTGCTAAAGACACACATCTGTTTTCACGTGTGCTAAATGCTGCATATCAGAAAACTACCACTCTCTGTGTCAGACAGAATAATGTTCAGAGAAACACTGTCCCTTCCTCTTCTTAAGCATCACCAGAATCTAATTAGATTCTATTCTCACTGAAAGTGAGAATAGAAATTAAAGAAATACACATCAGCATCATCAGTGCCTCCAGCTAGCAAAATATAGTGCTGTCAGGGAGACATGCACTGCTCAAACCCCTGATCCGTAACCAGGAAGAATGTATTCTTTATTGATTGAGAAACAAAGGAGTGCTTTTGTGCCTCAGGATGTGAACTTAGAAGTGCTGAACCCCAAACTCTAATACACATGAATGGGTATTAGGTATTTTGCACAGCTCCTGAGAAGATCTTGCCCAGGCTATGCATCAGGGGAAAAAGAATCCCAGTTGATTTATTGGACAGTCTGTATAAAACTAATTGTCCTGTGTTTATTAATGTGATTACCAAGATGATACCCAGTGTGAAGAATAGGTTTTGAAGAATATTTATGCAGCATATGCATAAATAAGGTTATACCTAAATGCTTGTTCTTGTTTCCGACTCTAATAATTTAAATAAATCCTAATAAATCCTGTCCACTTGGTATACAAGGCAATAGAATAAAGTGAAGCGAAGTCTCAGAAAAAAAGTAATTTTAGGCACCCTTATTACTAAAGACATATGTTATAACTCTAAAGAGAATCTCATAAATGATGTCTGGTATCAACCTCTCATCTTAGGTTGCTAAAACCTTTGCATTAGAAAAAAAATTTACTAACTGTTGAGAAGCTCAGATACTTTTAATTTTGTTCAGAAAGTCATTAGAATTTCAAATTATCATAAACCAAATTGTAACATTGACAATCTATTATTTATGGCCTACCAGGTAGAGAAAGAAAAATGTAATCTACAATTTACTATAAGCTTCTTTTGTTTTTCTTTGAAGGCTGTCTGCACTGAATTACAGTAACTAACTAGACCCACAGATACAGGCAGGAATACAGAATCTCCATATTTTTATTCATTCAAAAAATCACATGTGTACTTCAGTTATTTTAGGTTATATCTGGCCAATATATAAGAAAGAATATTCTTTGATTTTACTCTTCTGGGTATTTAGTACTAGAACGTCATGAGTTCTGTATTATTTACTTATGCTCTCAATCTGAATGTCAGTTCGTTTCCTATTAATCTGTAAAGCTAAAACAATGTTCAAGAGAAAAGCACAGTAAAAAATCAAACCAAATACACTATCTCAAATTTGCACTTTCCAAATATGTCATTACCTTCGCCACATATTCTACAATAACTATCCAATAAATTTTCCTGTTAAGTTCTATTCATCTTAAAAGTAACTTTTCATTTCCTCTTTACAGTTTCTAGCCATTCCATTCTCCTTTTCATGTTCCTTGTAAGAACATGAACATGTTCTTACATGTTCATCTTAAGTCATTCTCATGTCTGACTTCTATTTTTTTTTCCTTGAGTTTATTCCTATTCACTTTTTATTTTTTCTCAACTTTGTGTTCTTTTTATCAAATGGTGGATATTTACAATACTTCCAGGCTTAACGTGATCCCAGGATGGGACCTTTGACCCATATTGTTTTACAGGCATTACAGAACCAATAATCCTAATATAACACAAAAAATTGTGCTATAAAGGTGGAAGAGGTCCTACTTATCGTTAATAAATGGTATCAGGGAAACTATTAAAATGGAGAAATCTATCAGTCGACATTTTCTGTTAATGCAGCACATTCAGGCTACCTTGCATTTTTGAGTTGCCTACTTTTGGAGCAGAGGTCCTTCTACTCCACCTCTGAATGTGCCAACCCAGTCACAGAAAGCCACTCAGCAAGAAGTGGTCCCAGCCACAGCCAGGGTTTTGTTTTCTGCTTTCACACAAGAAGACCTGGATCTCTTAAAAAAATTAAAAGAGACAGATATTATGAACTTGATGAGTTTTAAGGGCCAAGTGTACTTGGACACCAAATGAGTTATGGAAGAATTTTTAAGTTAAAAAATAACATCCATTTCAATTAATGTAACATTACTGACTTCAAAGACTACCTCCTTAAAAAAGAAGTAGACTTTTCCTGTTGTTTCTCATGATAGTTCTCCAAGTTAGGGGAACCACACTTTGTCGATATCCAAGCCTTAGCTCTAGAAATTAAAGCAGTAAGGATAAGAAACTATGTGGAAAGGAAAAAGAAATTATATGTGAAATCTTTCCTGCAATACACCATGCAACAGAATAAAACAATGCTACCTCTAGAGGTGAGTTCTTCTGGAAGTGGTTCAATTAAAAAATTCTACCCCTCAAAACATTTGAAAATGAAATCAATCTCAAACAAGGAGACAACAAAATTCTGTTACATATAGGGCACCTCTTTGTATTCTGATCCCTTCCTAAATTAATAGTAAATTGTAATTTCTCTCTCACACTTCATATTTTGTTCAATTATTTAAAAATAAATACTCATGTGATACACCCATGTGGTGTGCCCCTATTGACACAAATTTTAAAAGTTGTTCAAAGGACAAGAGGGCACGATCTTAAGCTGTGTCAGGGCAGGTTTAGCTTGAATATTAGGAAAAAAATTTTTACAGAGAGAATAATCAGACAATGGAATGGGTTGCCCAGAGAGGTGGTGGATTCACTGTCCCCGGAGGTTTTTAAGATGAGAATGGATGTGGCACTTAGTGCCATGGTCTAGTAACCACGGCAGTGTTGGATCAAGGGTTGGACTTGATGATTTCAAAGGTCTTTTCCAACCCAGTCAATTCTATGATTCTACGAAAGAAAAGGAATTTTTCATCAAAAGGATAGAAAAGGAAAAACTGTCTTTTACATAAAACACTGAAACCAGGGGGTGACAGCTTGTAATATCCAAGCATTGCTCCCTAATTCCAGCTTTCATTTTTGACTTTGCAATGCATTCTGGTGGTGATTGAGCAATATATTTTAAGTTTGCACAAACTTCCTTGTAATTCTTCACTAGGTTGGATGGGGAAAAAAAGAAGTACTAGAAAGTATTAGGAAGCTATCCTATCTAAACATAAAATTCCACTGGCCTTGAATTCCTCTCCACAAAGATCTGAAGCAGACAAGGAAGGAGAGCCAGCAGGGTAGCCCTGTATATTAGATTGTTTAGAGTTTGATGATGGTGACAATAGGGTTGAGCATCTATGGGTAAGAGTCAGGGAGAAGGCCAATAAGGGAATCTGTTATAAATCATATGACTAGGATGAAGAAGCAGACAAAATATCCTATAGGCAGCTGAGAGAAGTCTCATGATTACTAGTCCTTGTTCTAATGGGGGACTTTAATTTACCAAATGTCTTCTGGAAATACAACACAGCAGAGAGTAGACAGTCTAGTAGGTTCCTAGTGTATGGAAGACAGTTCCTGACGTAGCTGGTGAGGGAGTCAGTGAGGGGAGATGCCTCACTGGACCTGCTGTGTGTAAACTGGTGGGTAATATGGTGCATGGATGCCGTCTTGGGCACAGCCATCACAAAATCGGAGTTTTCAGTTCTCAGAGAATTTAGGAGGGGGATCAGCAGAATGGCTAGCTTGGACTTCTGGAGGGCATAAACTGGCTTGTTTAGGGGACTGGTTGAGAGAGACCCTTGGGAGGCAGTCCTGAAGAGTAAAGAAGTCCAGGAAAGCTGAGTGTGCTCTAAGGAGGCCGTCTTACAGGAGCAGGCTGTTCCCTATGTGCCAAAAGATGAGCCAGTGGAGAAGAACATCAGCATGGTTGTGCAGAGAGCTTTGGCTGGAACCCAGGATTTCTATACAAAAACAAGTACAAGGTTTTCTCTCCAAAGTAAATAGACAAGAGGAACCTGTGCTGAAGTGCCGTAGGAGATATATCTTCCCTGGAAGCACAGATGCTAAGTCAGTTCTGAACCAGATAGAGTAGATATGCCTAAATTAGAAGAACAATCCCATTCTGGAGCCCTAACATTCTTCCATAAACAATCCCAAGCAATTACTGGTTGCTCTAAGCATTGTAAATAGAATAATTTAGGTGTGGAATGCAGATAATATAAAAAAGACAACTTAAATATGACAGTGTATTAGGTACTATGCAAATATTGGAACTGATTGATGAATGCTTGTAGAATACCACCAATTTTCCCTTACTTCTTGGAAGAAGAAAAAATACTCAGAAATATAAAACTTAGATATGGGAAATTAAATTTTAATAATTTCAAAGCTGACTAAGAGCAGAGAAGATCTGCCATTTGAAAACAAATAACATTCCACCTAATTTAATACATCAAAAGAAGTAGCAAATGCTTAACACACAGGATGCTAAGAACTGAACAATTAAGGAATAAAACATTTTGAAATCCTAAAAATACCTAAATAATAATTCAATGCTTAGTGTATTAGAGTATAAAATTTCCCTATAATTTTATATGATTACCTAGTTCTTTCAAAATTATCTGATATTATCATACTTTTTATATATATCGCTAAACTAGTTTAATCACAGTCAACTCTTAGTTTTTGACTATAACCTACCATTGTAATTAGTACAGTAAAATTATCTATATTTTCTTTTAATTGCTTTAGTCCTCATAATTTTTATTTACTTTTATTTTAATGCTTACAAGAAGATTTTATTGTCATTTATAAACTCCTAATCTTTTCAATTTCTTCTGACTCTTACAGAGAGACTACCTGATCCCAAACACATTGAAGTGGTTTATGTCTTTTCACTATATTTTAACATCTGCTTGTAAACAGTATCAGTCTTCTCTAGTTTTTCTCTTTATACTTATAATGATTTTCATTTCTGTGCAGACATTCTGGATTTGCTG